CCCGTGGCGCGGAGCTGCCTTGGGCAGGACGGGCCGCGCAGGAGCCGGTAGGCGGACGAGGGGCTTCCCCGATCGCCCCTCGCTGGTTAGCCGTGCCCGGCGCTCTCCGCCGTGTTCCCCCGTGCTGGGCCGCGCAGCACGAAGGGCAGCCGCTCAAAATAACCAACAGCCACTGAAGTTATAGCCCCGCCGGGCAGGCTGAGCCTGCTGAGCAGCGAGTTGGTAGTGTGCATCTAATCCTCCATGGCCTTCCCGTACGTCTAGTCTTCCATAGGCGCCAATCTGGCGGAAAGGCAGCGGTGCGGCTGAGCTGGCTGTCAAAGATGCTGCGCCTGGTTGTTACTCTGGAGTGTCGGTAACGGGGACGTCACTCCCCCGTCGTAGCGGCAGAGCCTTACATGCCTCGCTGCGGTGTGGAACGGTGTCCGGGTTTCTGTAGCGGTTCCTGGGAGGTTGTCGCTCCGGCAATCCCGGATCGGTGGCTGGAGCTGTGGGTGATGATGAAAGGGCCCATCTAGCGTTTTATTGAATGCACTGTGTATGGAAAATGGAAGTGCTTGTTTCAATTACTTAATCAATAGCATGTTAAACYATTTATCACTAATTTGATTAAAGAACATGGTTTTAGGGCTATATGTTCTCCTACTTGCTCAATCTGTTTTAAATTCCGTGTCTAAGAAAGCATGGGATAATGAAAAAAGGGGGGAGAAACAGGTGGTCTGTAGCTCCCTTTGCTTTCTGGGGACCAGCAGTTTCCCTTTTGCTCTATCAYTGAGCAACATTAAATGGAGTCAATGGAATTTGTAGTGGCCCTTTATCGCCTGCTTGTCTTGGGTCTTTCTCCTTTTTAATCCCTGGCTGTGCGAAGGGGTAATGAGGGGGCCAGGAAGTGCCCGTAACGCGGCYGTGGTTATTTTACCACGAGCGTTTCCCGCCCCAGCAGAGCCAGGCTCCTGTGCCGGCCGCTCTTCCAGGGGCCTCCCTGTGGGTTTAGCAGCCACGTTTCTAACCGCTGGCAAACTGGCCTCCAAGGAGCAGGCAGCTGCCGGAAAGTGAGGGCTGCTGCGGGAAGAGACGGCAAAGGGGGAACTGCCGGGGTCTGGTCGCAAAAATAGCGTAGCTCCAAGATCATCTCCGGGGGATGATGGAGGAAGGGCCGTTTATTGGTCTGTTGCCTCTCCAAGAGGCAGCCAAAATCTGTTTCCACCAAAAGTCTTTGCAGTGTGGCCGGGTGCCATTGAATATTCTGCAGTGGTTCTAGCAAAAAGCCATTTTAAAGGGTCTTGATATATTTAGTAAGGTGTTGGTTTCTCTGCTTACCCTCCCACGGCAGGTGAGTGTTGTGAGGGGCAGCGATTCCCTATCCATTCCTACAGCACCGTGCAGAGCTGCTGCGCTGTAGGACTGGGAGTGCTGTAGAGCATTGCAGCAAGGGGTGGTCAGAAAAATACAGACATCGTTTTCTTACCTTTACTTGTGGAAAGTCAGTGTTCTCTGGTAGGTTTCATAATATTTGAGAGGGTTAGGACTGAAACACGAATTTCATGAGAATCTCTGGATTTGAACTTTTTTTTTCAYAGAGTCAGTTGAGTTTTTCCTTGCTCTCTTGCACTGAACAGAGGAGATGCTAGTTGTCTAATAAAAATGATAGATATAAACAGAAATKCCATGTATTTTTTACTATACTTGTTTCCACTAAGGCACAGACTGATGAGCTGTTGCTGTTCTTTGCCATCTTATTCATAGCAGGGAAAACATTGGCAGGTGTAAGTGAACATATTATTAATGCATGTTGAAAGTGTATTCCACAGCAAAACAGAGGTGCCTTCTTCATTTCATCGCATTAAAAAAAAAAAAAAAGACTCTTTGACTTCTGTTTAGGGTAGATTTTGATAGTGGTCTTTTTTTTTTTTTTTCAGTGAGCTTTGACTGTGTTTGAAGTTGTCTCTGCTGCTCTCCGCAGGCCTCCCAGGAAGAGCTGAAAGGTGCCTACCGCCGGCTGTGCATGCTCTACCACCCAGACAAGCACAGAGACCCCGAGCTCAAATCGCAGGCCGAGCGGCTCTTCAACCTCGTGCACCAAGCGTATGAAGGTGAGCGGAGCTCCTCAGCTGCAGTGCTGCTGTGGGATTCTGAGCAAGCTTTTTTTGTGTGTGTGTGTTTGCTTGAGTTTTCAAAGTTCCATGGTTAGTTCTTGGGCAATCGGTGCAGAACAAGTAATCTGGGAGAGCAAGTGGTCCTCTGCCAGAATGGGGTTGGACAAGGATGGTGAGGGAGATCCGAGACAGGCAGCGCAACACTGAGGAGCTACCTCTGAAAGCTAGTCCATAGCAGACGTCMTTCTTGCTTAGAAAGTAGTCAGGGACTGCTGTCATTAAATTGCTAATGATCACATGGATTGTTAGAGGGTTTGCATTGCTCCTCAGTCATAAAAGCAATTTTTAAATTGTTCTATTAATACAGCTTGTGAAAACTAAGGAGAGAATGTTAGTGTAAAAATTGAGTGGATCTGTAGAGCAAAGTTTCATGTTTCCAGGGTTTGTGCTTGAATTGCAACTAACACTAGTGTGTTGGCATGAAATTTGAGAAGCCCAAGAACTGAATTCTGTCCTGTCTTTTGATTTTAATTTGTAGTGCTTAGTGATCCACAAACCAGGGCCATTTATGACATTTACGGGAGAAGAGGACTGGAAATGGAAGGTTGGGAGGTGAGAGAAATCTTATAGCCTATGGAATGGATTAAATCCACCTTTATCTGAAATTCTTGTTTTGTGCTAAGCTGCAGTGACCYTTGCCGTAACATTCTCTTTGTGGTAATGTTTAGTTTTCAATTTATTTTTGAGTAGGTTGTGGAAAGGAAGAGAACTCCAGCTGAAATCAGAGAAGAATTTGAGCGTTTGCAGAGAGAGAGGGAAGAGAGAAGACTGCAGCAGCGAACTAATCCAAAGGTAGGCAGAGACTTGATCCCCACCTCAAAAGAGAATCCTTGAAGTGTTAAAGAATACAAAAAGTAGTGAGATAAAGGTAAGTTAGGTACTATAGTAAATAACCGCTCAGGCACCCATTCCTGAATAAGAAATTTGTGTGAAAAATACGAGGAAAGATAGCTAATTCTTGAATGGTACCCCTCTATACAATATACAGCTTCTTCGTTCTGTTGAAACATGTAGAAACAAACAAACAAAAAAAAAAGAAAAACAGTTTTAAGCAACTTTAAGAACACAATGTGGAACCTTTTATGAATCCCTTTAAATATTCCAAATAACACGACTACAGATCTTCCCTTCCGTACTGCAGTATTGACACAGTAATGCAGATATAAATTCAAACATATCTTCAAAAAACATATCTCAAAAAGAGATACTGGACCAATGGGTAGGAAGTCTTTGACTGGAGCACAGAGAGCAAAATCAACCTGAACAGCACTGGGATCTTGCCAGCTCCACAGTTAGTGCCAGGTTTAAGGACGCTTCATAGTGCTCACACGGTGAGCATCATTACTGAGTACCTTGTTCTCCTCCCTCTGTCTGAGCTGCAATAAACTGGCCCTAAATGACTTGCCTCACAGCTGAATCTCAGCTGTTCAAAGATGATCAAGAATGGTGAGGAAGATGTCCCTCTAGTATTGCCGGAGGAGAAGTGGAAGTGATGATCCGCCACTGCTGTCTTTTTTACCTGCTGTGCCTAGAATACTCCAATAATTTAGAATGCTAATAGCTTTGCCAGGCTCTTGGCTTGATAAACACATCAGGGAAAGGAAGGTTTGGTCAGGATTACCACTGAGTAAGGTTTGAAAGCTTCTTAAATCACAAAACTCGTTTGCCGTGCAGTGAACAACACAAGAGTTGGATCTACAGTCCCTGATGCATTTGCACTTTAGTCTACCTGAATTAGATATAAGGGAGAGCTGCTCAAAATATCCTAAACTACTTTCTTAAAATATGTGATAGTGATACTTAATTTCTGTCTCTCCATTGCAAAGAAATCATTAAGATATTGGTTGCAATTTATGTAGACAAGAAACATTATCTGTCTTGGGGAAAAAAAAAATCTGTAAAGAGAAAACAACTTTGTTTTATTTATATCTGTTCTTGGTGGGAAGCTGGTATCCCCCAGAGCTCTAGCTGGAGGATTGCAGTCAGCTCTGCTGCTCGGGGTTCTGTGTTCTGAAGCGCTAAAGCACAGATGGCTCCAGTGTTTTGGTGGCTTTGAAGCAGGAGGACTCCTGCTTCATCTGCTCCGTGCATGGACTTATAAAATGGTGCAGCCTAATTTGGTAACGTAAGAAACAAATTAACAGTTGCTATAACTAATGATAACGTTATTTCTGAAGGCTGCTAGCGCTTTCATGTCCAGCAGTTTCAAATCATTAATCTTTTCCTAAGTTGACAGATGTGTGGGAACAGCTATGGTTAAGGCTGTGTCAGGAAAAGTGTTGGTCTGTGCTGTCAGAGTCACCCCTCTGCACCTCTCTGGCTGTAGCTCTCCTCTGGCTTTGCAGCACTGAGGTGGTGAGCAGTCTCATGCTGTTTTCCAAATGCTGAGATTTCTTGCACTGCTGAATAATAGTTTGGGCTGTGCTCTTTCCCATGGGACAAAAACAGGTTTACAACATGTAATTTAGCTTTTTATGGCTTTTTTTTTTTTTTTTCATTTTAACTGTCTCATTAGTGGGAAAGTGAATTAAAAATAATCACAAAAATAGTTTCTAACATACAGGAGCCTGCTAATTATATCCTGTACGTGGAACACTATGTGGCTGTGACATTTGTCCTCAAGGTTATGCTTGCCTTTCTGTGCCCGCCTTCTGAAGAGACCTTTCTGTTTGCTGAATAAGTTTAGTTTGTGGGGACTTTTGTTACCCAATTCCAGTGTTTGAATGAATGCAGCCTATCCCTTCTCCCATTCTACTACAAAACCTTAACTTCTGTTTTAAGATATACTGGAAAAATGAAACCTAAGTCCAGATAAAGTGAGTCTTATCTGTGATGCTGCTTTTTTTTTTTTTTCCACCTCCTCTTGAAGCAACCATGTATTTGCGGGCAGGTCATCAGGTATGTTTGTTATTTAGCACCCACTGAAGGAAGGAAGCCTGGGAAGTGGATATGTGAAAGTTTTCAGAGGATTTCACCATCCCTTGGGATTCTTTCAAACAAGATTATGGAGAAAAATAAGCTTTGACTAGGAGCTGAGGTAAAAAGAGTGCAGGAGTGAAAGTGCATCAGGCAGGAGGATTGTCAACCCATGGCTTCTAAGTGATCCCATTTGCTCTTTGAAAACTGTCTTTTTGACCTGCCCGTGGCTTTATTCCAGGTAAGAAGGGGTTTCTGGATGCCATAAAACGGAGCAAGTTAAAATGTCTCTGCTGGAGAGCAGGGTGATTTGGGCAGATGGATCTTCTGGGAGAGRGATGCAGGCATGGTTACTTCCACGTAATGCTTCTCAGCGACTTTAGGAATGTGACATTTTATCTGGGTGTCTTGCTGTGGTTATAAGCAGTAAAAAGTGGAGCTGCATTGTAAGCCTCAGCCTCTGTGTCTTGTGATAAAATTAGCCATCTGGGTGTTTACAGCAATTGCTTATTGGCAGTCTATGGAAATGTCTCTCTAGGCAGTGTTCCTGTGGAATTAAGTAGCACAGCTGTGATCATTTCATACCAGAGCAGAAGTTACTTTAAAATTCCCAACATTTCTAGCTAGCTCTATGAAACGGTTCCAGCAAAATAAAGTATTTCTAACCAGAAATGTTGAGCAATAACCAGATGTAGGCCGTTTGGCAGGTTTAGAATTGGGTCTGTTGTTTGGAAGTTTTGGTTTTTTCTTTTAAAGATATGCAGAAGGGTTGGAAAGTTGATTATTTGATTTGAGAAGACTTGCTTCCTGTTCCAGAAATTAAATCCTACTATTTTCCTGTTGTGGAAGGTCAAGATTTAAGAAATACAGGTCCCTCAAGGCCTAAACTTGTGCAGCTTGCAAAAGTCACCTTCCAGAAGGGAAATGGTAGGAGAGGGGAAGGGAAAAAAGTAAGAAGGGAGTAGATTATTCTTAGGCATGTTTCTTAACTCTCTTTTAAACTGGGGCTCTTGGCCTTTATTTAACCACCTTTCCAGAAATGAGACATTTTGAGAGACCTGTATTTTCCATGGGTTACCTAGAATTGCCACAGAGCTTGGAAAGATCCCAGTTAGTTCAAACGGAACAAAACCTGTCCTGCCTTTTGTTCCCTGAATGCTTCATTTGCTGCTCTGCAAGTCTGCTGCTGGTAGATCTGTCTCCGCAGGCAGGTTCGTGAGTCCAGGCAACTTTCATTCAATTCTGCCTTAATTCAAAAGCTGACAAATACTACACAAAGCACCAAGTGGGTCAAACACTTTTACAGACTGATTGTATCGTAACATTATTCTATATGCATATGTAAAATCTTTAGATTTAGAAGGGGGAAGTGTTACCAGACTGTGGCAGGACATCGCACGTTGGCATTGTTGGTGTCAGCGTGGAGAAGACAATTTACTTTGGTCCAGATCAGTCCCATTTTGACAGATGCAGCAGAACGGACTTGGTCCTTGGCAGGACGGCTCAGACATGCCACRTCTCTCCTGCAGATTTATAATGTTCCTACTTGATGTTTCTTTTGGCCAGAAGAGCAGCATAACTGTTGGCATCATCCTCCAATAACCCCATCTTCCAGTTTTTTATTCCAGCCTAGTGAAGGATACAGGTTCATTCCTGATTGTAGCGTTGTCTTCTGGTGTTCCATTTTCTGTCTCTCACAGCATTTTTGGTTTAGTTTCTTGACCTTATAAAGCTATGTCTGCCACCTAGATTAATGTAGTAGGCCTTCGTGAGCAGTTTGATTGCCGCTTGATTTTCTTTTACAACCAGCTGTTGCACAGATTGTGTCTCTTGCTGCCTCTGCTTATAGAAATGTCTGTCTTCACAATTTAGTGGGTGTGATTCCCAGGAACAGAATACACTTTACAGGAAAGTTGATACTAGGAAAAAAAAGTAATTGTCTGGTTGCAAGTAATTCCTTGTGAAATTTAAATCCACTTTTTTAAAGGAAAATATCGATGATGGAATTTTACATTAGAACAAAGTTGAAAAATAGGCACATAAGCCTTGTATGAAAAAAGCAATTTCCTTTGCAATAATTATCAATAGCAACAGATGTGCGAGACTTCCTTGCAGATATTTTTGCAGAAATAACTTATCCTGTGAGTGCTCCCCCGAAGTCTGAAACATGAGCCATCCTAATGTGTAGCAAGGGTGATTCATGGGTTTTCTGCCATCTGTCCTCTTGACTCTACAAGTAATTTTATTTATTTATCTTTTACGTTGCCCAGATTTCTTCCCTGGTTGCTACGTGAACAGTTGCTGCTGCAGGGCAGTGCACGTCCGGCGGTGCTTTGCCCTTTGTGATACCATCACCTGCAAGCGGCGGTGGCGTTTTAGTCTTGTTTGCTTTTAATGGGCTCCTCAAGCATCCCTCATGTGCCGCTGGCCATGGGGGTCATATCTGCATAAGGGAAGCATCTGTCCTCAGCAGCTGGAGGGAGGACACCCCTGCTTCTTGTGCTGGGTTGGCACGGAAGCCAGGAGCTGGTTTGCACGCTCTTGCACCTTGGAGAAAGCCAAGCCAGCATCAATGTGCAAAACCTACCCAGCTCAGTCAGAAGGCTGGAGTAATTTAGGTTGTCTGCTCTTTCTCCTCAGCTGTGCAAACTTGGAAACCAGTGTATTTAATTATACCCTTACCAAAAAGAAGAGGTGGAACCTCCATCTGATGATGTGTCTTCAAGAGTGTTTCTCCCTGCAGCAGAGACTTTGCTTGCAGAAGAGACAGGCTGTGCCAAGTGGGACAGCTCTCTACCTCTTCCCGGATTTCCGGAATAGGGCAAGTTGAGCGCAGTTCTGCTGCTCCTCTGAGGCTTTGCTGAGAGGAGAGCAGCAGGGAGCACTCACCTTTCCTCCAGCCCTGCTGGAGGGCAGTCTGTGCCTGATCTCAWGCTCTATCAAGCGTATCAGAAGTTGTCATTTTTGCATAGGTGTTTTTTTGAATCCAAAGGCTAAGATCCCTCTAACTGATAGTGAGTGTGGTCTTCCATACTATACTGTTGCACTTACCTAATCACATTTGTCTGTGGYGGGAGCTGTATCTGCAGTGTATGGTACCAGTAGCAGTCTGCTGTGTAAGGTTTCCATTTAAAGCCTGCACATTGGGCTTTAAATTTTATCATCTTGCCCAGCTGGTAAGAAAGTAGACAGCTAGCTATTTTGCCCGAAAGGAAGATGTTACATAGCTCGCTGCAAGAATCAGTGCTGAAAGAGTCCAGCAGACTTAAAGGATTCTAACAAAATAACTGCTAGTAGAGACCTTTTTTATGCCTAGGATCAGTAAGTTGAGGTGTTCTTAAAGACCATTTCAGGTAGCAGTTCTGCTGTTCTGCAGCTTGGTTGCTGTGTGTGCGCRGGGCCAGGCTTTCCCTGCTGGCCCTACCCTAGGGAGGGCTCTTTCTCCCCATAGCCTGAGCAGGTGGCTGGCAGGGAGCTGGGAGCAGCAGCGGTCTCCCCTGCTATCCGGTGCCATAGGGGTGCTGTTGTTCTCTGGGAATATTTTTAACATTACCATCTGCTGCCTTTCCTGTGCTTGTGATGGAGCCAGTTTCCTTGCCAGGACCTATAGGTTTCTGAGGGTGACTTCACCTGCTTGGCAGGAGGCAAAATGTCTTTGCGGAATCCGTTCCTCGGAGAAGGGCACCTGAGCAGAAGTTGTCCTGAGCAGTTGGGGAGAGACTGAGCAGGAGGAGGGGGCTGTGAGGCTCCTTTCTCTGAGGGGATCTTGCAGATTTTCCTAAAGAGGTCCATGTGTTCTCATTTCACTTTGCCTGTTTTCACTGAGAGAAGTGTCTGCTGCACAATTCATAGGTATGTGTGAGAAAGGAAGTCATGAAATTTAAGTGTGTAAGAAGCTGGATTTTAATTATGAATTTCTGTGTTTATGCCACACTTAGAAAAGAAACCCCTCTGATTAGCACTGCTGTCTAGCACTGATTAGCAGAGCTGCCTGCCCCAATCCCAAGCCCTCAGAATGAAGGGAGGCGAGCGGGCAGAGCCCCCTGCGCAGCACCCGACCCTCCTGCTCCCAAGCAMCGGGGCCGGGAGAGCCTTTGGGAAGAGCTCCAGCCTGCACACCGTGGAAACGTGTAGCTGGCAGGACGAGTAAACATGCAGGAGTAAAGTGCTTTGCAGCGGGCTGGAGTAGCGGCGCGGCGCTGCGCGGTGCCAGGGCTGCTGGCAGCCCGGCCTGGCTCCCCGACCATCTTGGCCTTGTTCCGAGGAACGGCACCGTGTAGGAGAGCATTGGAAGTGAAGAAGATGCAGCGTTTGAGAAGCAGATCCCTTGAAGGTGACTTTGCAGATCGCTCCCCAAAAGGAGTCGTCTTCGTGTAAGTGGCTGGAGCTCGTGGCTTGCACTGCCGCGAGTGGGAGGTAAATGTGCAGGTTTGAAGTTGAGCTGCCTTCTGAGAACAGTTTTCAAACAGTCAGGGTACAGTCCCTGTTGCAAGGTTCTCTTGGAAACAGGTAGACCTTTCTATTTGAAAATATTTGTCCCATTTTCACTGGGTAAGAAAATGGAAAATAAACATTTTTAAGAATGAATAAGGAATCTCCACAACAAATAAACAGTTGCAGCCAAATCCAACCAAAGCTTTGAATTAGATTGTGAGTCCTGTCAATCTCTGCAGTTCTTCTTATAGTTGGGGTTTGGGTTTTTATTAGAATGCAGTGAACATGGAAAAAATGCTCGCTCAGATTGAAATAAGAATTTATTCACTTTACATTTACAATGTCTGTGCCTTTGTACCTATCCAGCTACAAAGTTTTATTCCTTCAGCTTGTCTTTCAGGGTTAATTCTGTGCTCGTGCATGGAGGCGTTTTATTGCAAGTGGTGTATTTCACATGAGCTGGAGTGCTGGTTAATTGAGCTGTAGGGAGTTTTCCAAAGCCTGTTGAAGCTGCATGACTCAGAGAAGAATTCATTGTGCCCTTTTCAAATAAACCCACTCTTGCAGTTAGCCTGAATGAACACAGCAGCACGTAGCCAGACTGTTTAGCTCTGGCCTATTTTTTTTTTGGAGTTCTTTTTGTTTGTTTGTTTTTCTTTTCTTAGCAATAAGCTTTAGGCATTATTTTTGTTGTTTGAGAAAGGAAATGTTTACCACTTGGTAAAAGTCTATCCTTGTTAAGCTTTTCTTCTGATTTATAAGATGTAAACCAGGGAAAAGACAAGGAAATAAACGTTTGACTAATAAGGTAAATGGTAAGTAAATGATGCGGCTCCAAACTGAGTTGCTTCAGATGATTCATAAGAAGGAAGTGTTTAGAGGATGACCAAGTAACTTGGAGAGGATTGGTTTCTGAAATACATCTTTAAAATACTGACATAGCGCAGTTAATTTAGTTGTGAAGGAGAAGAAACCTCGTGTGTGAAAACGTCCTACCTACTTTAGCTCTATTTAACAACAGAAAAAAAAATAGTTTTTCACCTGGGATGCAGTGCTAAGTTTTTATCCAGTTTGCTTTGACTTGTGTGGTTATTTTAGACTTTTGTAATCATTCAGTTTTGTATGTGCCTTGAATGTGTAAGAAATGCAGTTGAGAATAGAGCAAGGTAGTTGTAAAACAGCAAAAAGAAAAGTGAAGATTTAATCTCTGATGTGCACATAAAGATGCCCTGGCCATTTGGCCTGCATGGATGCCTGCATGCAGTTGTCCCGCTTGTTGCTTCTTAGGGAACAATTAGCGTTGGAATAGATGCCACGGACCTCTTTGATCGTTATGACGAAGAATATGAGGATGTGCCAGGGAGCAGCTTTCCCCAGATTGAAATAAATAAAATGCACATATCGCAGTCCATCGAGGTAAGGGGGGCGAGCGCGCGTGCCGGGCGGAGCAGGGTCTGAGCTCGCGAGGCACAGTGGGGCAAAGCAGCTGAAAAGGAAGCGCTGCTTGGGGTCCCCTCTTCCTTTATGGAGGATGTGGGCAGGAGGAGGGCCGGGTCAGCAGGAATGCGGCTTGGTGGCACGGCACATGTTTCCAAGGGTGGGAGTGGGGCCCTGTGGCACCGCTGTCGGTGCTGCAGCATTGCTGCCTTCCTGCAGCAAGGAGGCTGCGCGACGCCTGCGCACCTGTCTGAGGTAAGCTTAAAGAAAAGGAGGAGAAGGCTGTGGGCAAGGAGAGGGTGAGTGTTCCCCCTCTTCCAAGGTGTTGAGCGGGAGGGTTGGACTAGGTGATCTCTAGAGGTCCCTTCCAACCTGCAATATTCTGTGATTCTGTGTTGGAACAGTTCATTCTCACGCTGAGATTGGAAGRGATTGCAGCTCAAGGGCAAGTGTCCTGGAAGGTGTCTCGCACTGTGGGAGTCAATGCTGTGCTCTGTCCCTGAGTGCAGAACTCCCAGTGCATGTGGCCCTACCAGGTTCAGACACCTGGGCTTGCCGATGCGAAGCCATCGCCCGGGGAGTCACCTGCCTCCTCCACATGCCCACAGCTTCTGCAGTCATCTGCAGGACTGAGGACACCTTTGCAGGATACACATTAAAGGTGTGAACGGGTATCAGGTTAATTGGTAACAACATGTTTGTTTTCCAGGCGCCGCTGACCGCCACAGACACAGCAATTCTGTCCGGGAACCTCTCCACCCAGAACGGGAATGGAGGCGGCTCGATTAATTTTGCTCTGAGGCGGGTGACGTCTGCCAAGGGATGGGGAGAGGTAAGAGTGTTGGCCATTGTTCATTGTACATCCAGGCTACTTCAGGCTGCTTAAATTAGTTAGCTACTCTTAATTTTAAGGGGGGCCTTAGCTTTGTTTCTCCTCTCAGTGCTTCACCTTCAGAAAATGGGATTAATGATACTGACCTGCTTTGTAAGATGACCTGCAAAAAGAGCTCTTGCATTATTTATATAATGATACCTAAACAAACAAATTGTATCAAATAGTAGTGCCAAATTACCCCCATTCTGTTTTTCCTTTGGTGAATTTGAACAGATGGAGTTTGGAGCAGGAGACCTTCAGGGACCTCTCTTTGGTCTGAAGATATTCCGTAATCTTACACCAAGATGGTAAGTGTTATAAAAGTGATCTAAATGTTAATACTCCTCACTAATGAGCCAAACAACTTGAACTGTTTTTCTTGTTAATTCTAAAAATTCTTGTGGGAGGTATTGGAAGAAAAGARGTTATTTCTTCTTTGGCTCTGACATAATGCTTCAGTTGTGGTCAGAATGCTTCTGCTCTTGCATGTGTATGTATGCGCCATTTTAATTGCACGTCCTTCCAGGCTTGCTTCCAGCAAATGCTGCTTATTCCATGCCCACCAAGGCTGCTGGGCGAGCCATAGTCTGAGGCTAGCTGGGGCTCTGTGTTTTACCGCTGAGGAGGTTCTCTCTCTTTCTCCTAGCTTCATCACTACRAACTGCGCTCTGCAGTTCTCATCCCGGGGCATCCGGCCGGGCCTCACCACGGTTCTAGCCCGCAACCTCGACAAGAACACGATGGGCTACTTGCAGTGGCGCTGGGGCATCCAGTCAGCCATGAACACCAGTATTGTTCGGGATACAAAAACCAGCCATTTCACAGTGGCGTTACAGGTGAGAGCTTCGTTGCTGTATGCAGGGACCAGTATTAGCACCTGGTGTGAGAGGAATATCCCGGCTTTCCCTTCCCAGCCATTCTTTGGTGGCTTGAGGGTTAAGAGGATAAAGGAGCAGTTAACMCACTGTCTTTGTAAGCATGTACCTTTGGTAACCAGCATTGGTTTAGTAATCAGTGTATTCTGTGTCACTTAAAGAATGTGGAAGAACACTTGGGAAAATGTTCAGCTGTGGCCGAAGATGAATTTTTGTAAACTTGTGCCTTTTGTATTTCAGCTGGGAATCCCCCATTCTTTCATGATGGTTAGTTACCAGCATAAGTTTCAGGATGAGGATCAAACACGAGTGAAAGGTTCTCTCAAGTAAGTCTGCAGGGGGATAAAGATGCTGTTTACACCCAAAGAACATCCCGTTTTCTGCTCTCAGAGGACTGCTGGTTCTAGCCAAATGTTTCTGTAATCTTTGATTTGCAGTGAAGAGAATTTCAGGAATCTTTCCTGGACTTACTGGGTTTTGTTTCTGTCATTCTAGGGCAGGTTTCTTTGGGACCATAGTGGAGTATGGCGCAGAGAGGAAGATTTCTAGACACAGCATCCTAGGAGCCACCGTCAGCGTTGGTGTTCCCCAAGGAGTGTCCTTGAAAATCAAGTCAGTTCAAGATTATAACTGCAGTTTGCCAAGACTAATCATAACCTGTATTATTCTGTTTCCAGTATTCGGGTGGTTCAGGTGGGAAAGCCATGGTCTGAGGCTAACACTGCTATTGATRTATCACTATATTGATATATCACTATAAAAGCTTGCAGCTGCTCTCACTTTTTATATAAGTGGTGGCTGTCTGAAGCAACATGTGCCTTCTGCTGGTGTTACTCTGAGCCTGAACACCTCTTTCAGTTCTGGAGTGTGGAATATTCTGAAAATACACTTTAAAGTAAGTTTGGAACATTATAGTAAATGGATAGAAGGTTGCTGAAAATACATTTGGAAGTGTGCTTAGTTGCATTCCATTTCTTGTGACTTTGTATGTGCTTGTATTTGAACTAGATTAGATTATTGCTGTTAGCTGAAGAAATGGGTATGCTATTCWTATGATGCAGTTTGCACAGAAAGGTACAGAATTCCCAAAGCTTAATATTCTGTAGTGCATTTTTAAAACTTTGCCAGTAGAGGGCACGCTAGGGCCGTGGAAATGCAAGGCATGAAGATTTCAGTCCCAGAAAGATTAATGTTTTCTACAATAAATGTTAGTGTAAACATGAAGCAAATATTAATGCACCTCCTCCTTGAAGGCACATGCAGGGATTGTGTACGTAGTCCTTCCCTGTAAGCGATTGCTTTTCTGTGACTGATGACACAGATGATCATCATCAATTCCCTGGTGAAATTCATGTCCAAACAAATTCTCCCAAGACTAACAAAAGACTTTAGAGCAGCCACCTGCTACTGAGGACAGATGTCTGTGGCTTACAGGCAGCTTCTGGAGGGCGGCCATCGTCTGCCCCGCYGCTGTCCTGGCTGAGTTTAGTGGTTTCTCATCTGCATGAGCTCGTTGTTCATCTCTCTCTGGTTCGGCAGTTCTTTTTGCTGCTACTAGGTGTATTTAATGGGACGTGTTAAACTGTTTCCTCTGATCGGCCACTCTCTTCTTTTTTTTTTGTTCCAGGTTGAACCGGGCTAGCCAGACCTACTTCTTCCCTGTCCACCTAACAGATCAGCTGCTGCCTAGTGCTGTATTTTATGCCACCGTGGGACCCCTAGTTATTTACTTTGCCATGCACAGGCTAATCATCAAACCTTACCTCAGGGCACAAAAGGAGCGGTGAGTCAGTGAGGCCATTTGAAATACGGAGACAGGAAGCCCCAYTCGAGTGCTTGTGGGAGTCAGGGGCCGAGGCTGGAATGTCTGGATAAGGCTCCGTGTTTTAGTCTGTTGTCAATGTTACTAAGTTCTGGGAGCATTCAGAAAGACCTTGGGAGGTGGGAGGCTCACTTGCCTGAGTTTGCATGGCAGCTGCAAGTGGGGTGGGCGAGTTGAGATGCGGATGACTCCCAGTCACTGGGTGAAGCTGATGCGGTGTTGACTTCCTTATGCCAGAGAGCTGGAGAAGCAAAGGGAGAGCACTGCCAGTGACATCCTTCAGAAGAAGCAGGAAGCAGAAGCTGCAGTAAGTCTCCTGCTCCCTCTAAACTGCATTTTTATATTATCATTTTTATGAGAGACTTCATGAGGTGAGGTACRCAAGACTCCAGCCCTACTGCTCCATGCTCTGAAGGAGGAATGTGTTTTCTGCATTGCTTCCCTTGTGGTCTGTTCTGTGCTCGGGTTGAGATGACTTTTGAGACAGGCTTTGGCCTGCTGACACGCTCCCAAAACATCYTCTGCTTTAAGCCTTCCTAGTTGAAGGAAGCAGCTTTTGTTCTGAGCTTGTCTGTTTTGGGCACAGTGTCTGTCACTGCCTGATTTTGCTTTGCTCCTGGTCTTGTCACAGGTCCGGTTAATGCAGGAGTCTGTCCGGAGGATAATTGAGGCAGAAGAAGCCAGAATGGGTAAAGATTGCACCATTTACTTGTTCTTTATGTTTGGAAAGAGGAACGGGGCAACGGAGAGGCTGGGTGGTTGAGGGGGAGAGATGCAAGCTGACCTTTTGTCACATTTGTGACTTCTTGTGAAATGCAGGTTTGATTGTAGTGAATGCCTGGTATGGGAAATTTGTCAATGACAACAGTAGGAGGAATGAGAAGGTGAAAGTAATAGATGTGACCGTGCCCCTGCAGTGCTTGGTGAAGGACTCCAAGCTCATCCTTACAGAGGCCTCCAAGGTACGTGGCTGTTCTCCCCAGGCCCAGGGGCTCAAAGATGTGCGTTGGGAACAGGGGATTTCTCCTCCACACTTAAAGCTGGTGAATCCACAACATAAACTTCCCAAAACCATTTCTGTACTAAGTGTTAGGAACCTCTAAGAACCTCTGTTCCGATGGATATTTCCAGAGAAAGTGCCTCAGTGTTCATTGCATGGACAAAACACACAAGCGTGWATATATACAAAACAGCTTTTCGTATGTGAAAATCTGTTTCCTGATGCTTAGTCTGCCCTTCTGTGGTTACAGGCTGGGCTGCCAGGTTTCTATGACCCCTGTGTGGGTGAGGAGAAGAATTTGAAAGTGCTTTATCAGTTCCGGGGAGTCCTGCACCAAGTGATGTCAGCTGACAATGAGGCCCTGAGGATACCAAAGCAGTGTAAGTAGCAAGGACTGTCCTCTCTGCCCCAGGAGCTGGCGGGGGCTGTCCCGGCTGCGGGCAGCGTGCCGGCCTCTGCGCTCTGGTGCCTGCGCTGCCGATGGGCGAAGGGCACAAATCTCTGTTCATTGTGGACCATAGCCCAATTTAAGGCACAAATCCCGTTTGTGAAACTTGCATGCACACACAGTGGTTTCTATGAATCCTGTTTAACTTACAGCTAGAGATGTTCTTGTCTGTGGTAAGTTCAACTTAAAGCTAGGATGTGGCTCACGTCACTTTATTGTTCTCATCCAACAGCTCACAGAATTGATGCAGATGGCTAATCTGGTGAGAGTCCGTCTGTTACGATGCCTGGGTCAACAAACTGCAAAAGCTTCCCTGGGATGTTACAAGTGTGAGCAGAGACATTTTTATTTTTGTGATCCATATAGGAGGTGGTGTCACACCAATTATGTTAGGAGGCAAGATAAGAACCTGCTTCTGCAGGTGGCTCCGAGGCAATACTGCTCTGAATTGTGGCTCGGTAACCAATAAAGCAACGTGACTCTGAACACGCAGTGCTTTCTGCTGAGGTTGTGCGAACGGGCACTGAGCACCGGCCCTCATTCTGCCCCTCTTGCGGGCTGCAGTTTGGCCACGGGCAGTTTGTGTAGTCTCACGTATTTCTTCTTGCACTGAGCAGGAAAGAAGACCTGTTGCGTGCACTTCTCCTACTTCCTGGGGTTGGTATCACCTTTCTGTACTGCTGAGGGGAAGGGAGGTTCTGTGGCTGCCTCCAGCAGAGCTTCTGTGCAAGTCCTGTTCTTGGAGAGAGGCCAGAGATTGGGTTTTTCAACCCAAATCTACATTTGAAATGTACTTGTTACAGACAAGTATGTTTGGAATGAAGTTTGTTGATTTTTGTAATGGAACACAGACCTCTTCACCTTGAAACCATCCAGCTGCTCCTAACACCCATTTTAAACAGTGCTACTTCAGATGAAGGCCCTGGATATAATAGTCTGTTTAATTCCATTCTGCCAACTAGAACCCYGTTCAACATGGGGTTCTCAAGAAAGTAGGGAAGTAAAGTGACCAGAAGGACTGTAATTCATTTCATCCCGATGTGGTGCTGCAGGTCTCTTCCCCTCTAAAACCGAGGAATGTAGTGGATATAGTAAATAAGACCAAAGGAAGGAGAGCTGTCAAATGGAGCAAAGACCTGAACCCTTGAGTTGCCTCTTCTAAAAAGCATCAGTTGTGACATAAATTCCCCGCAGTGGTTTTGCATGGAAGCCATGCCCATGATTTTGCCAGGAAAGGGGACACTCGTTCTGGCAACACAGCAACTGGAAGTGGCAGCTTTTCACTGTCTCCTTCCACAGCACGGAGGGATTTTGTTTTATGTGGAAAAGGGATAAATCATGGCTGAGCTGTAGTTCACTTTGTGGCGTGTTCTAAAATAGCCTTTAACACTTACATGCAGGAGATGCATAAAAAAACATGTATGGGCACCACATTGCTGCTCTTGATAATTCCTGCAGCARATCACTTCCCAGCAAGCACCTGCGCCCTTTGTCTGGGGTTCTCCTTGCTCAAGTCATGGTCTTAAGGCCCTGTGACAGTTAATTGCAATAGAAAAAATAATTTCCCAAAGCAGCCTGGCTTCAGCTATTCCAAAACAAATGAATCTCCTCTCCCAAATTCATACAAGTGTCATTCACTTGTTATTTTAAAGAAAGCTTCAGCCAAAATGGGTTCTTGATGTAGGATTTTATTTCACTTCTCACCAGTGTTCTACTGATCTGAAATTAAATGTTAATTGTGCAATAAATCATATTCACCTGAAAATCAGCCCATGTTCCCTTTGCATCTTTAGGACAGTCGTGAAATTAAACTTTTCCGCAACTTAACTGATCCATCTTGGACCTGGAGACRGTTTCAGCAGCTGTTCCAAGGCTCAGGCTCACACTGATGTTCTCCTCTTGATCACAGCTTTGTTCTYATCAAGGAAAAGTGATGCTTTTCCGGCAGTCTTCCCCCTTTGCAGTGAAGGAACTGCTGCTCACATAAGGCAGCTAAGGGACATGAGATGATCTAGTTCTCCCTGCCTTCCCCCTGTTTTTCTTCCTCAGAACTATCTTTATATCTGGTGATAAAGCAYGTCAAGCAAGGGGCAGAGGAACCTTGCGTTCCTCGGAATCCCTGTGCCGCGCGGCCGCTCCGAGCTGAGCGGCGCCGGGTGGGAGACGGGGCTCGCGCAGCGTCTCCTCCGCGGGAGCCAGCGCCCGCCTGGGCTCTTCTGCCCAGGTTCCTCCATCCAGCCTCCTCCTGTCTTGGTGTGGGGGAAGTCTTAAGAGACCAAGAGCACTCCTCAAGATCGTGCTTACTCCCTGCACTATTTCTGTTCTAGGAGAAATGGCCATTTTAGCAGCTACAACTTYCTTTGGGGCTTCTGTTTATCCGACTGAATTATACGGAGCTACAGCCAGAATTAAAGCAGCAGCTATAAGCAACCAGGGCCTAGGCTTTTAATATGATGCAGTGCTCTTTGTAAAGGGCCAAGCAGCCCTTGAAGGGCTGCCAAGCTCTTGGCGGGGGGCTGCTGCTCTGCCCTGCGTGGCTGGGAGCGAAGGAGGGCACGAGCGTCGCTCGGGGGTCTTCGGYGTCCCTGCCCGCCGTGGCTTCGCACGGGGCTGCCCTGCTGTCCGGGAGCACCCCGTGCGGCACGAGCAGAGCCGCAGGGCCCTCTCGGCACGTGCAGGAGCGACGGCCCTGCAGCCGGTTCCTGGCCTGGCTCCCCTGCGCACGCAGCTGAGGGAACGCAGTTTCTGGTCAAGTTTTGCCACGGCCTGGGACAACCRTTTAGCACACCTGTAAATCACAGTAGCAGACTCCGGAGCCCAGAATAAACCACGATTCATTAAAACAGTTTTAATGAAAAAATAAAGTTCTGAATTAAACTATAATCATACATGGCTGAGAGTGATGAACTTAAAAGTATGGAGATGTATTTTTCTCTCTCTCTCTGCTGATACTGTAACGTGCTGGACTTGTCAGACACCAACTATTGGGATAAATCTGAACAGGTAACAGAACAAGATTCAGTCACATTAATACAAACCTCTGTGAGAAAGAGGCAGTTCACTTGGCGGTCTCGTTTCTCCCATGAAAGCTTCAAGAACATATTCCCCCGTGGTCTGGTTGAATTACAGACACGCTGTAAACGCAGATACCGACGCTCAAGAGCGGGTCCAATCCTTGCGACGCTTGTGACCAGGATCTTTGAGAGCCTTTCTGTTTGCAGAGTGAAAGGGCAGCATTTGAGAACTTTGGTTATTTTTCCAGCTGCAAAGAACAGTCAGGCAGCCCTTGTGGGGCAAATCTTTGGCAAACTCCTAGGTGGTTCCACTTAGCTTCTAGGTGGTGTCTTGTTTTACAGAAGCCACAGAGATGCTTTTTCAGAAGCAAGTCCTTTGTTGCAGCTTGGCGCGATGGGGTTTTCTTAGAGGAGCGAGTGTAAAGAGCAGTGTGGTTCTGCCAGTCCGCCGCGCTGATCCCGCCAGACCCTGCCCCTCGCAGCCCCGGTGCAGGGGGCTCTGCGGCCGCCTCGCGGGACGCGTCTGACGGGAGGTACCTGTCTCTTCCCCCAGGACCCTCGGTCACGGCCAGGACRCGGGGCCCGGCGAGTCTGCCTTGTCGCAGGGCGAGGGCACCCCCGCGGTCACAGCGCGGCCGCTGCCCGCAGCGCCAGCCGCCGCCTGCCCCTCGCGGGACAGAGCACGCGGCGTCGGCGAGGCAGAGCCGCAGCGCGCGCTGCCCGGGACGTGCCCTGGGCCGCAGCTGCTCAGCGAGGAGCAGCGCGCCTCGGCGGCCTCGCCTCCCCGCGTGTGTCTCAGCGGCTTTCCCCTGGGCAGAGGCTCCAGGAGGGCCAGGCAGGGAGGCAGCACTGGCAGGGGCCTCTGCTCCTTCATCCGTTGCAGGCTGGATGGATCTTGGTCACTCTTCGCTTGGCTAGCTGCTGCACAGCCTGTGTTTGCTGGAGCCTGCACGATTTGCAGCCAACAGACTGAAGATTTTGGGGTTTTGAGTGCAAACCCTGCCTCAAAAATAAGCAGCGATGACAGAGGTAAACTTGGCTGTAGTACTCRTGTGGAGATGGCCTGATCCCAAACTAGACCTGCCACGTTTGTAGCGTCCAGCCCAAGCTGGACTTCTGGGCTGAGGAAGGGAAAGTCTTTGCCTCCTTCAACCAGCACCTCAGAGCTCACGGGTGGGCTAGGAAATAGAGCCCCTGGTACCACCACCCACACTCGCATCTGAGCCAGTCCATGCAAAACAAAGTCCCAAAAACCACTAGAGAAGGAGACTTCAAGGGAGAATCCGGATGACTCTAATGCCCAGCGCTGCCTGCGCAGAAAAAGGACCGTTTCTTTTAAACACACAGTCTTTGCAGCAGGAGAAGTCCTGCTTGTGCTTGAACAATGCCATATCAGAGGACTCGGTGAAAGCCATTCGCCTGCTGCCCAGAGCCTATGAGGACGAGGCAGGAGGTCCCACTCGCTGCTGTGCAGCCCTAGCATATCTAGGATGGGTAAACACGGACAAATGGGCAGGTACAATATTACACCGAAATTAAAACACGTGGCCATTTACTTCCGAGACTCTTCACACAGAGATTTCCCTCCCTCCTCCCTCTTTGGAGGATGAGTTTCCTAGCACAGAGGAGGTTTGCGGTTTCTTTCCCGAGGGGATGAGAAATAATACGTGGCAAAGGTATTATACATTCCCAAAACGTCATCCAATTCATAGTTTTAACTGGACAAAACCCCGCTGAACCCAGAGCGCTTCGTCTGTCCTTGAGCTAATCAGTATCTAGCAGCAGTTTTGACCAGGAGGCTTCTTGCAGCCCTGGCCCACGACAACTCGGTGATACCTTATCCCTGTAGGCGCAGGCGGAGCGGGCAGCCCTTCAGCCTGAGCAGCAGCAGCAGCCCGGGCGCTCCCCGCGCTCCCGGCGCGGCCGGCGCCTCGCGCTCCCGGCCCGCCCGAGCAGCACACGGCGCGGCCCCCTCGCCTAGTCCAGAAAGCGCCGGCGCGAGCCCGTCCGGGAGCGGTTGGAACGGCGGATATCGAACTTGGAGTCCCGACACTTCTGGCATATGTAGACCTCCGGGACATTGGACTTGCGGATTTTGGCGCAGGAGAGGTGGATCCAGGTATGGCACTCGTTACACTCGATCATCGGCCGCCCGGCGAAGGGTTTCATGCAGAAGCAGGTGACGAGGTCCCACGAATCATCATCTGGAGAGAGGGAGAAGCAGCAAGTTAGGCCTTTTCCTCCYAGTCTCCTCCTCCTGCATTCCACCTGCACTGTGAATTATTTTCCTTTTGAGTTAAAGTAGCTACCTGGATTTCAAAGACRGGCACATCACCGATTTTTCCAGGGCTTAGCAGAGTCTCTGCCAGCTCTTGCTCTGGAAGAGAATCTCAGCAACGCAAAAGAGGTGGTAATGCAGGGAGAGGAGTAAAGGAGCTGCTTCCGTGAAGCCACAGCTTTCCACTTGCTGTGCGCGAGAGTCAAACCCCTGCCCCGAAAGCCCCACACGCCACTGAATGTGCCCAGAGGCGGCACCTCTGTAGCCTCCTCGTGCTGCGGGTGACGCAGCAAGAGCATTAGTGACAGCCCATCATTGCTGTGCGGCTACACGTATCACAGCCCTCCTCCTGACAGCTAGGCCACCTACCCGAATCCACCATAATGTCCTCGTCATCGCCGGTGCCATCCTCATCCCGAAAGACCACCTGCTTCCCCTGCCGAATGACYGTTCTTTTACCCACGCTCTGTATCTCCACAGTCTGCTCGGCCGCCACGGCGGGGTAGGAGACGCTGGACGGCGTGTCCGAGTCCCACGCGGAGCAGTGCTCGGTAGCGGACTGAGGATCGCCCTCGGACGAGGGACTCAGCGCAGCCTCCACAAAAGAGTCCTCGGCCTCCAGCTCCAAGAGCTTCTCCTCGTAATCTTCCTCCACAGAGGCTTCCGTCTCCCTTCTCTTCAGCTTCTTCTTCTTCCTGATCTTGTCRATCTGCTTTCGCTCTGGCAGGAAGCTGCCGGGTTTTGCTCTCTGGAACAGGGAGCTGTAAGATTTCGTTCGCTTGAGCTGGCTGAAGCTCTTTCTGTTCTTGGCGGGCAAGGAAACGGAGGAAGGGACATCGTTGAACCGGGGGTCCCAGCTATCGCTGTCAATGGTGCCGCCGGTGCTGTTGGGGGGGCTGGGGCTGTTCCGCAGGGGCGTCTCCTAGGAAAGGGGAGGGAACGGGACAAAAGCAGGGTTTTAGCGGCACCTCGGAGGGGCGACACGGCCTCTCCCGCCGTCTGCCCGCCCACAGCCGCCGCGCTGGCTGCCCGTGCGCTCAGCGCGGGTTGAGGCTGCTGCTCTTTCCCGTGCGCCCTGGGGCCGCAGCTCCCGACCCGCAATTCCAGCCGTGGGAAACGCTGCGGGCGGCGCGAGAGGAGGAGCGCGGGGGCTGCAGCCCCGTGGCTCCGGAGGGCTGCGGCAGGGAGCGGGGCGCGAGGGCTGCGCGCAGGATGGAAGGACAGCGCACAGGGGGGTCCCGGGCGGGCGGTGACGCGCAGGGGGTTCGCGGGCGGCACGGCGCGCGGGCGCTCCTACCTCCTGCGGGTAGGGGATGTACCCCGCGTAGGCCAGCACGAAGGTGCAGAACTTGTTGAAGTCCTCCACGGTGCGGTGCCGCTTGGAGGCGGGCGCG